ACATAAATTACTAAACCTACTATTTAGCCTGTTAACAGCACTGAACCAATAGCAGTCCCAGACTGATGGGACTTTCAAGCAATTTATTTATCTGACTCTGGCAAAGCAAAGCTTGGAGAAGAGCAGTTGTGCAGGATGGAAGGAGGAGATATATTAAAGTTTCTGTATGGGAGCCCATCAGTTAAGCATAATGGCTTTGCACCACAGAACATTAATTACCAGATAAGTGTTATCATACCCAAGATGGAGGTGGAGAGCTAAACTTGGAAAATAGAATTTTGAGTTGAGTTAGTTGCTATTCTGGCTAATTACATTCAGATTTGTGGCAAACATTTCTGGTAACATTTGAGATTGTTGGTGAAAGGCTTATTTCCACTGTTTTTCTAAACCATTCTGTCAGACTTCATCATGCACAAACATCTGTATGGTTCAATCAAGAAGTGACAATCCAGTAGGACATTTAGATGTAAAAAGGTGCAGGCCAGATTTGGATGCCTTATCCCCTTGCTATTTATTGGAACAGCCACTCAAATGCTTATCCCTATCAAGCTTAACATTAAAGCTGGAAAACATTTCTTCAGTTGGTATGAATGTTTTAAGTTTCGTCACCAAGCTTACAGTGAATAATTGTTTCAATGAGAGACTACAATTCAGTGATTGGGAATTGGAGTAGGAGATCTGGGTTCCAGGACCAGCTCTACTTCTGACTCATAACATGACACTACCTATTGGTATTTGTTATGAGGAACCAAATAAGCATGTTATGATGCTATGCCAGTACACTTGCATGTCTGCCTCATGTAAAGTTGACTCATTGCACATTGACAAAGTTCTGACATCTAAAATAAAGTTGGAAGGTATTAATGGCTTGATTTTTCAGAAGTGCTGAGCACTGCAGCTCCCACAGTAGCTGTGGGTACTCACCCACTCTGCAAATTAGATTATAATTGCTACCATGTGAGATAGGCCTGCAAGAACTGGGGCAGATCCTGGACAACAGGTATTGTGAAAATCGGGAAGGATGGCAACCTGAAACTCACAACTGGCTGGAACAAGATGAGTGATGTGTCAATGGAAGGCAGTTTCAGTTTCTAAATAATGATTTATTAAGTAGTAGAATGCTTGGAGGAAGTTGCAGAAGGACGAATCAAAACCTGTAGTGATGAAGCACAGATATTGATATTTTGGTTCCTTACAGGTAAGTTAGATTGTGTTGGACTCTAAGAACTATTATTATTCTGAAAATGAAAGTTTCAGAACAATGTGTGAGGATTTAGTTATGTTGACTCATTTTTAAGAGTCGAAGTTGTGGATAAAAGCCCCTGCTGCCTGAAAAATGTATTATGTAATCAGCTACAGATTCTACAATAGATCCTGCTAAACTCCTCAAATAGTAATGTTAGAATTATGTGAAATGGGGAGTTGGTTCCTAATTATTGGGGTGTGCATTTAACAGTGTTATGTAAATAACCACCAGTAGCAACCAGGTATTGTGTTTCCACAGTGTTGACAGTGACTGATTTTTAAAAAATGCTTTGTCTTCATCAAAAGTATTGTGTGGTTTAGGACTAACTTGATTTAGTGATGGCTAGCAATGAAGTGAGATTTTTCTGGAATCACCAGTTTTGAAATCCCAGTTTTGCTTTAGTCTTACCTGCCTCTGTACATTTTAAGCATTTAAAACAGACTAGAATTATGGGATTACAAACAGAGGCAAATATTGATTGGTATCACTTACCTGCCGCCATCTGGAACAGCAATTGGTTTAACAGACAACACAGTGGAGGTGAGAGACTGAAATTGGGAAAGGGAGGAAGAAATTAGACAGGAATATTTTAAGATGGACTGCAGTCAGCACTGATTTTTTTTTTTAAGTCATTGAAGAATTTGTATTTTCTTACCTATCCTTCCCCTATCAACTCTATGCCTGATCTTCTCTTTTTAAAAAAGGTGTCAAACTGATCCCCAAATTTGGTGCCTGAGTAAGTGATGTGAGCAGATAAGAGGAGAACTAGCGATAACAATCTTTCATCACCACAGGAAAGCAGTTTGATCAAATGATCAGCAAAATGAAGTGTATATATGCCTGTGCATGCATGAGAGAGGGAGAAAGTTCTTGTCACTCTTTAGTCAGCTATATGTTTAATATACAATTATCACTTCAACTTTTATCTTCTAGATGATTTCTAAGCTTTCATAGTTTTTAAATTTACATGTAAACCCTGGACTAATTTTATAGTCAATGCACAAATATGCAGTACTTTGAGAGGATGGGATAGCTGCTGTGAGCAAATCTATCTCTGTGCAGGTGAACAGGTAGATGTATGGGAGGAGGGGTAAGAGCAGGTCGCACAAACAAGGGGCACTCAGTGACAGGACCAGACTATTAGAAGAGGTGACGGTTATAATTTCACCTGCTGTCACCGTAAATGTAACATTAAACAATTTTTAAAAAGGTATTAACATTTGGGTCTAGATGGAGACTAAAGCAAAAGAAGGTGGAGTGGGCAGTGACATAGAAAGCACACAAATTTTATTTAAAATTCATTATAGTGTAATTGAGAGGATTTGTAGCTTTTGAATATTTTTAGTACAGTATTGAGAGAATGGTCATTTTATCCATGCTATATCTGTATAGTCCACCAAGAATTTAGAAGGACAAACATACATTTCCTGAATGAATTTTGAAACATTCAATTGTGCAATGATGTGCTAATGGACGTTGACACTGAACTCCCTTTCTTATTAATGGGAAGGCCTGTGCCTCCAGGCACATGATAAATAAGAGCATAAATTAGAACCTTTAGAAAGGTTAAGACACCTGTTTAATAGGTGGAAGGGAAAAATTTTCACTTGTTGATTTGGGGAACTTTTGGTATTTGCCTAGAGCTTGTTTTTTCCAAACTTTGACATTTCCAGTCACTAGTGCCTCATGTGAGAGCTCATTTTCAATCTTGGTCTTCACAAGACACTTTGGCCCAAATTTTCAAACATGTCCACTAATATTGGGTGCTTTAGCTTTGGGGTCTCAAGTTGAGACCCCAACTTTCAGAGATATTGAACACTCAACTCCATCTGACTGGTATTAATTACAGTGGCAAGACTAGCAAACAGGTCTGATATCTACATAAAGACTGAGTTCACCGACCAGGATTTTCAAAGGTGACTAGTAATTCTGAGTGCCTTAATTGTTAGGTGCCCAATTTGAGGCAATTTTTTTAAAGGGACCTGATTACGAGAACCAGGTACTTGGCACTTTAAGGTTGGACACCCAAAAACTGAAGTACCCTGTAAAGGTGCGGACTCACCCCTGCATCACCCCCTACTGGTTGCTTTAGGGAATCAGCTCGTCCAGCATCTGGAACACCCTCTGCAGGCCAGCGATCCCTCGGTCTTCTTCTGGCCCCCGTATCTCTCCCAGGACCCGGTGCCCCTATTATTGGGATGCTGCCCCCTGGCAGTACCCCACAGATCTAGGTCTCCCCTCCCTGGGGAAACCCCTACCCACTATCCCCACCTTGCCTCAGTACTAGGCCACTGCCAGTCACCAACTAGCCCCTGCTCCCTGGGGCAAACTGCAGTATAGGCCACTCATCACTGGCAAAGGGGGTTTGGACCTGCTGCCGTGGCCTAGCCCTGGGCTGCCCTCTGCAACCCCCAATACCCCTTGGCCTAATACTAGGCCGCAGCCTGGGGCTTTCCAGGCTGGAGCTCCCCAGCCTTTCCCCAGCCCTGCTCCCCTCAGGAACTCTGTCTTAGCTCCCTACAGCCAGGCCCTTTTTTTTTTTTCTTTTTCTCTCTCTGTGCAGAGAGAGACTTTTTGGCCTCTTGCTCCCAGCCTTTTTATATAGGCCAGCTGTGGCCTGATTGGGGCATGGCCCAGCTGTGGCTACTTCCCCAATCAGCCCAGCTTTTAGAGCTGCAGCCCTCTGCCAGGGCTGTTTTAAGCCCTTCCAGGCAGGAGCTGGGTAATCACCCCGCTACACACTCCAAATCACTAATCATTTCTGCAAATCTTGTCCAATATAATTTGAGGTGAATTTTCAAAACATGATGCATATTCAGTTTTTGTATTACCATTTATGCATACAAGTTATATGCAAAAAAAATCACATGTGCACAAATGGAGGCCTTTTGTAGACAGTGTATCTAAAAATAAATGTCAGAACGAATTGGTACGGATTGTACCACTTTTCTTTTGCTTTGTATCCCTATCTTGAATTCCTGCCTCTTACTTGGCTTTAAACAATAGTTTCGTGTTAAACTCACGACATCTATTAAAAAAAGTAATATGAACCATGAGAGAGTTATAAAAATAAAGTTATGAGCATGAAAGTTTTCCAACAGCTGAAACGGTCATGACCAGCCTTACAGTAGGAAGGAACTGTTATTCATATAGACTTCTTATTGTGCAACAGTTTTAAATGGCTATTTATCTGAAATATTTCTCAAGGTTTATGGCAAGTTATTTAGAGATAACAAATATCAGTAAGGCCTCTAGCACACACCAATCCTGTGCATATGATCTTACACCAGTTTTGGCTGATAAAACTTGGACTGTACATCAGAGACTGTTGAAGTAAAACTCATGCCTATGCTCAGTGAATATGGAGTTGTCTCATGGAGACTGTAGATCTAAGCATGTGATACCACATGGATCAAAATAGAGTATCCTTACACAAGATGAGGGGTGCAGCAATGAATTTAATTTTTTCCTCAGTCAGGTACAGCCCTCAGGCTCCTGGCAACATGCGAATGTAGCCCTCAGTTGAACAGTGTTAGACAGGAATGTTCAAATAGTTAGCTTTTGTTAATTTCCAGGATGTTGGATCGGAGTTATATTTTCCAAAGTTTTCAGGTAGCTTCGCTTAAGAGCACCATCCCTTTTCAATGGGACAATACAAACAGTCCTTGGCTACCTATAGGCCGGTTTTTCACCCAAAAATCTAATCTAGTATAGTAAAGCTCTCTTTCCCCCCCACCCCCCTCTCTCTTTACAGGATTTGATATTCAATGGCTGGAAATCTAGATATCAAGTGGCCGAAATGAATGTGAACCCTATCTTAGAGGAGATTCTGATTAAAAGATCACAACAGAAGAAAAGGACTTCTCCCTTAAATTACAAAGAAAGGCTTTTCGTGCTTACGGAATCAATGTTGACATACTATGAAGGTCGAGCAGAGGTAGGAGATAAAGTTTTATATTCCATTGCCTTTGTTCTTTGAGAAAAATGCTTGCTTTTTTGGATTAGTGGTTTTCTTCCTGTAGTATATTGAAGCTTTTCTGTTCTGGAGGTGTGATGGTTGTGGGTGCTACTGAATGGGTATCACGGATCACTTCCCTGACTGATAGCACAGATTTATGGAGACTTAAATGATCACTCCATTCAAAAACAAATGTAAACAAGGATCTAATCAAGTCTGTCAACTGTTAATCCATAAAATGATTTTAATATCACTTTCTGAGAAGTATTTAAACTAGGATGATATTCTCAGCCTCCAGAGTACTGTGTTAGAAAGGCTTAAACTTCCTGCTGTAGTTTAACTGTACCCCATTTCCTACAGACACTATGCAGTGCTACAACCCCTGTTGAGTCTCAGGCTCTGACATGTCTTCCTTGCAGAGTTAGTATAGGCGCTTATGCAAGTGCTCCCCCAACCTCTCCTCCCCTCATGCACACACACAAACCTCTCATCAGAGTTAGGTGGTGCTTTCAATCTGGGCTAGCAGACACTGCTCAGGATAAGGGTTAGAGCCTGGCTTCTGCCTTTGCTCAGGCTGGTAACCTGTCCACTTTTCACTGAGTAAGCCATTGAGTGATTTAGCTAGTAGATATTCCTCCAGTGCCTTCCCACAATTTCCACTTTCTGCCCAGAAGGACTGACAAGTTCTCAGAGTTCACCGTGAAAGAACTTGAGTTCAGCACAAAGAACCATGGGTTATGCCCCCAGAATCTTAGCAACACACACTGTTGAGCACAGCACTAGTGAGGAAAACAGTAACTTGGGTATGACTTTGCAGTATGACTGCTCACACACAGGCTAACTCTGTAGCAGAGACACACCCAAAGAGACAAGAACCAGTTGCATACACTAAGACAGAGAATACAGTAAGGCTACATCATAGTAGCAACACTGTTTGCTTTATGCATTATTATATACAAAAGACTACATTAATAGAACATTGAGATTGCAAAAGCAAGCATTTTGCAAAAGTTAAGAAAGGCCAGGATTAAAATTGCTTGTGGCCTTGTCTACTGTACAACCCCATGTAGACCATTTCCCCTTAACTGAAGGCTTAACTTCCCTTTGAATTTAGCTCATGTAAATGTAAGGAATGTGGCAAAATGGCCAATGTTGGGTCCTATGCTTTTCTTGGTGGGGGGGCTAGGACACTGCCCCTTACCCCTGCTCTTGGGGCACCCAGGGCCCTGTTAGGGGCCTAGCAGGGCTAGCTTTAGAGCGATTCACCATAAGAGGGCCTCGCACCATCCCTAAGGACCCTTCACTGATGTGCTGCCGAAGGCACCGGCAGCCAATCGAGCTGCCGCCGAAGACAGCGGCAGGACTTCAGCGGCAACTCAATCGCTGCCACAGAAGAAGGACCCTCTACCGCCGTGCCGCCAAAGGCACCGGCGGCCAATTGAGCTGCCACCGAACTCCCACCACTGTCTTCAGTGGCAGATCTTTCGAATCAGGCCCTGTAGTGCCTAAAGCTGGCCCTGGGGCCCAGGAAGATGGTAGGAGGGAAGCAGTCTGGTTTGCCCCTCACTCTGAGCCACAGTACCTCTCAACCCCTGCAGGTTTCTTACCCCTTGGGTAGAGTTATCCTCAGTCCTTGACACTGGGGGAGGGAGTCTTTCTGCCCAACTGGGGCAGGGTTTCCCTTCCTTCAAGTCTCTGGTCTGCCAAGTCTCAGCAACACAGCTCTAGTCCTCTCTTCTTCCAGCCCCCGAAGTAGGGGATTTGATTAGGTTCCTGACAGGGCCTTAATTGACTACAGGTGCTCCAATTAACCTGTAGTAACCTTTCCTAGTCTACAGGGAATCACGCCTTAATTAGCCTAGGGCTTATATATCTCCCCTCTCCCAGTGCTCCCTGGCCCTGCTGTATCACAGGAGAAACAGCATTTGATGGGAAGAACACAAGATGAGCCAAATTTGCTCTCCTTTACATTAGTCTACTCATTTAATCATGATTACTGAAATGAAGCAGAACACAAACTTGTGCTTCGCTACTCTGGTAGCTGAACCATTGTCTGCACCAATTCGGCTATGGTCAGCAATAAGTAATTTTTGTAGTGTAGACAAATCCTCTGACCCTCACCCTCAAGTGAGCTCTAGGATCATTTTTATCAGACAGCCTACACCTAATATGGACAAGAATATCCTCAAAATCAACATCTGGATTCTCTGCTCCACTAAGACCACTTTGTGCAGTTTAAGCAGCAGAAACTAGTCTTAAATGACTGGAGATAGCCAGTGGAGAATTCCTTCTGTGCTGCCACCTGCAGAAAGTTGGTAGAGGTGGCTGTCTTGCCTCCTGTGTTAGCTGCCCCATCTAGGATGTAAGGGGAAGGAGGGGCACAACAGGACGTGGTGGAGCAGAGTGCCACTGTGCCTGATCCTCCTCTGGATAATAGCTTATTAGAAAGTTTACATCAGTTGCAGAATTTAGAGTAGGCCCCTTGCTGCTCTAACTTCCACTGGGGCATGCAGCCAAAGGTCAGAGAGCTGCAAGTGGATCCCTGCAGCTACCCCTCTCCACTAGAGAGCAGAGCTTAGACATAGTGGAGGATCAAGGCCCAGATGTATACTTGTATTACTATATTGACTATGGAGTTCACAGGTGTACTTGTCTTGGGATGTGGATTAATCTCTTCATTTTCTGTGCACATGGCTTTGGTTTCAAAAGCTTCTTGGAACGGTTACCTAACCGTGCATGTCTTGTCTCAATTAACTTCTGGCTCAAAATAAAGGTGAAATTAATTAACACCTTTTCACTGCCACCCTGAGGAATCTGTCTTTTTTTGACTGAAATTCTTTTGGATGCTAATTAGGCTTTCATTGATTTGACTCAGTGTATTATCTGAAGCAATTTTGCATTCTCTCTCTCTGGGTACTAAATTTGGAGAGACAGGATACATATTTTTCAGTAACTTCATTTTAACAATTCTGCTGTATGTTAAATAAAAATGATTGACACATGAAGGCCTCTCTGAAACACTGATGTTAGTGGTCCTTTGTGTCACTGAATAAGTGAAGTGGAAGAGAGTCTATTTTTTAGATTTCTGGCAGAGGTTGTAGATCTTTATATGCAGTAAGTTAGTTGATGGAATATCTATGAACTAGATCAGGTAGACAAAACTGATGATTCAATACTAAAGTAGTTCCAGTGCCTCTGGTTCTTATATCTTTACTGTATTATAGTAGAATAGTTGAAGGGTTTCTGCTCCATCAGTTACGTGGCTGAAGTGCGGTGGTTGAATTTTTGGGCATTGTTAATAAAGGATAGATATGGATATGGCATAGAGCTAAACTAGGGTTACCATATTTTAATTTAAAAAAAGGAGGACACTCCATGGGGCCCCGGCCCCTCCCGAACTCCGCCCCTTCCCTGCCCCCGCCCCTTCCCCAAAGTCCCCGCCCCAACTCTGCCCCCTCCCCTGAACGCTCCACCCCCTGCTTCTCCCCCTCCCCTGCTTCCCACGAATCAAATGTTCGCGGGAAGCCTGAAACAGGGAGGCAGCAGGTAGGCTGGGGCTGGGGCGCGGTGCGGCCCAGTCCGGCCCCCCCTGGCGGCCGGCCGGCCCAGGCCAAGAGGCTCTGGCCCCGGTGTCTCCCGCCCGGCTCGGCTCGGGCCCTGGGGCGCCGGCCCTGGTTCCGGCCGAGCACCGCCGGCCCCGGCCTCGCCGCCGGCCGAGCACTGCCCAGCCCCCGGCCCCGGTCCCCGCACTGCCGGCCCTGGCCACCGCACTGCCGGCCCCGGCTCCCGGCCCCGCACCGCCGGCCCGGCCCCCAGCCAAGCACCGCCAGCTCCTCTCTCCCTATTTTCCCGGACATGCCCGGCTTTTTGGGATTTCCTCCCGGACGGGGATTTGAGGCCCAAAAAGCCGGACATGTCCGGGAAAATCCGGACGTATGGTAACCCTAGCTAAACTGTAGGTTAGGGCTGATGTTTACAGTTAAGATTGATGAGTAAGACTGGGAAATTATCAAGATGATACCATGGTATCTCCTTATTCGATCAGTTGCAGTGGTACCAGTCTCCGTCAACTGTGACATATTTAAGAACTCTGGGCCATCTTCTGCTGCTGGATGCACATGTACAACTGCCCATGTAGCCAATGAAGCTGAGGCCTCAAATCCTAACTCAGTGGGTGTTTGCCTGAGGAATAACTGAGTAAAAAATGAATGAGGAGCCCGGGACTTGACTTTAGTTTAATAACTGGGCCAATCCATTAAAATAGACTCAATTAGTTAATATGCACAAGAGAAATGGTGGGTGGTTCATGACTGTAAGTAAAGAAACACAATTAGATACGGAGTATGTCTGGTAACAAGGTGAATATTATATATATTTATAACAACGAAAGCCAGAATCTGGATTCTGCTGTCCTGTAACAATGTAAAAGTAGTAATGAAAAAGAAATACTGTTGAAACAGAGATGATATGCAGTGCTTAAAGTGTGTGTGTGGAGGGTGGTGGGGGGTGGTCTACAGACCTGCCATAAATAAAATATTGAGATGGTCACTGAGGAGCATATTCGAAGCACTGTCTTACCAAAGCTGCTCCTGCTCCCAGAGAGCCCTCCCCCACTTAACTCACACACTAATCATATAATGAGTGCTTTATCAGTAAAGCAAATCTGCATCACCAGGAAAGAGGGAATGTTTTGCAGATTAACTTCAGCAGCCAGTTTTTTAAAAAGGGAAACTGCATACAGTATACTGCACGAATCTTTGGGGAGGGAAAATTTTGGCCAAGTACATTGGGGCAAAGCCCTAGACTTAGGAATAGTACCCAGGGAATTTTAGTGTTCCTGGTAAACAGATAGGATCTTTAAAGGTTTAATTTCTTCAAAGTATCCTGCTTTTAGAGAAAACAAGGAGAACAAAGAGCTTTATAAAAGATAATAAGGGTAAAAGGAGGACACAAACAAATCTCAACAATGGAGATACATA